GCTGTCTTAGATCTGGGACTGAGAGACAGTCTATAGAGTTATAACAGCTAATGGATGATATTTCCTTGTTTTACTGTATAAGGTTCTGCAAAAGCAAAAGGACAAGAGTAAGAAAATGGAAGAGAAAAATAAGCAAAACTGGACAAGGACATCAGGGATAAATCAATGGCAACACTAAAGCGACGTAAATTTATAATTGAGCTGCTTAAAGAATTTTCCAGATTTCGCAAAGGAAACGTACTGAAAAAGCTTACTCAGAGTAATCTCTGTCAAAAGGAGTGCCTATTTTTCCAGTCGTTGTTGAAGGACCTTGGAGAAGAGGGCCCATTGGAGAGGAGTGCATAATAAATTGACTCTTCGTGATCAAAAGAAGGAAGGGTGGTTCTTAGAGAGATTATCGCAATATTCATGCGGCAATCTGCCTGCATCATTTCCTTTAAATCATTTACTTCGCTAGGTAGGGCAAAGACGAAAGATTATACCGCTACACCGCATAAGTTAAAAAAGATTGTTTCAGCCCAAAGTGCCAAGTGAGCCCCACAGGCCAAAGCCCTTTTCAGCCTCTCATGAATTCATTTTAGCTCACTTGCAGCCGAAAAAGCCTGTTAAATTCTTATTCCGTGCCTACACCTGGACTCATTTCATCCCGTGACCCCAAGGGACCCTAACCCTAGTTAATTGGACTGCATTGTCAGTAGATGAGAATCCTGGGCTTATTTATAAAATAACAAAAATATCAGCTATATTTTTATTTCATTGCTTCAACATATTAGCAACAGCTAAAGTTTTAACACTGGATCCTGATATACCCATCCATTTATATTCCCAATAAATTAATGAACATTTTATTTTTTTGTCATAATTAACAACTATAAACGAGGATAGAACACAGAGACCTAATGTAGTGTCGCACCATTCAAAGAAGCAGGAGTCTAAATGGTTGTTCTATGAGAAGGAACTAGATTATAAGAAAAGAGAACTGAATGTGGAACAAAAGAAATTGAACTGAGCAGCTAATGAATATGCAACTGGACATGTGTTTAAGGTATTATTTCCTCTTCAAAACCATATTAGAAGATCCAATCTAGATTAAGTCACTTTTTTAGAAAACATTTCAAACAAGTAAGTCCCGTAGCACATCAAACATCTTTTCTCATTCTATTCTGAACACAAATTATCACACAGAAACTTTCCAATTTTGATTCAAAACCAAAATATGACCACCCTAAAAATTTTTCTCGCAATAAACGCTCTTTTCGGTCAACTTCACCGTCTAAAACATCGTCAAGCATCTTTAGTTATTCTATTTTGACAAAAAAAAATCAAAAGAAAACTTTCCAATTTTGACTCAAAGTCATGGGTCAACCCTTTGGAGAAAATGCAATATGGCACCGCCAAAATGAAACGTTTTATAAACGCTCTTTACGGTACTTTTCAGACTTTTAGCCGTCTAAATTAAAACATCGTCAAACATCTTTGACGATGGCACCCCCAAAATGAAAGTCTTTATAAACTCTCTTTTCGGTGTTTTTAGCCGTCTAAAACATCGTCAAACATCTTTTCTTATTCTATTTTGCGAAAAAAAAAATCAAAAAGAAACTTTCCAATTGTGAGTCAAAATTATGGGTTAACCCCTTTGGAAAAATCCAATATGGCACCCCAAAATGAAAATCGTTGTAAACGCTGTTTTCGGTTTTTTTAGCCGTCTAAAACATCGTCAACCATCTTTCCTTCTTCTATTTTGAGAAAAAAAACAATCAAAGAGAAACCCTCCAGTTCCAATTTTGACTCAAAATCATGGGTTAACCCCAATCCAGTATGGCACCCCAAAAATGAGAGTCAGTTGTTTCGGTATTTTAGCCGTCTAAAACATCGTCAAACATCTTTTCTTATTCTATTTTGACCAAAAACATTAAAAAAAAAAACTTTATAATTTTGAGTCAAAATCATGGGTTAACCACTTTGGAAAAATCCAATATGGCACCCCAAATTGAAAGTCTTTGTAATCGCTCTTTTTGCGGTCTTTTCAGCCGTCTAAAACATCGTCAAAAATCTTTTTTTATTCTCTTTTGACAAAAACAGTCAAAAAGGAACTTTCCCATCTTCACTTAAAAATCATGGGTTAAACCCTTTTAAGAAATCCAATAGGGCATCCCCAAAATGAAAGTCTGTATAAACGCTCGTTTCGGTCTTTTTATCTGTCTAAAACATTGTCAAACATGTTTTCTTATTCTATTTTGACAAAAGAGAATCAAAAAGGAACTTTTTAATTTTGACTTAAAGATCATGGTTTAATCCTTTTGAAAAACTCCAATATGGCACCGCCACAATGAAAGTCTTTATAAACTTCCTTTTTGGTCTTTTTAGCGGTCTAAAACATTATTGGGATTTGCCTTGGCATTTATTGCTATGTTCTAAGAGGTAGTGCTACAATATTTATTTCATTACCCTTTACCTTGTGCCCCATTGCTTATAGTCAGGCTGAACCATCATTCAGAGACGTGTATCACATCAGTTAAAGATTCTGGCTGACAGTAACTACACCTACCCTTCCCCTAAACCAACCTTTTGTCCTAAGTGGAAAGTGGTGTCCATATTGTGTCAGGGGAGGGGTAGGTGGATCTTTTTCCAGAATCTTATACTTATTTGGCCAATCAATAACTTTTGATGTTGCTGTTAATATCCTCTTGCAGCAAGTGGCAGCTGTGCCATCAAAGGATTCCACATAAGATTCCATTTGGTCCACTCTTCTGGTGCCAGATTATCGTTGAAGGAGACAAAGTGGAACGCGAGGTCTCCAAAGGAAGAGAAAGCAGAAGGTAGGTTCATTTGCCTACAGATGTGTTGTGAAGATTATCCTCTCCATGCATATCTTAACCTTGTTCAACAGCTAGCCTTTGTGCTGTAAATACTGCAAAGGATAAATATTAATATGGGAATTATTTTTTTGTTATTATCTCAAGAGCACAAAGCTTGAATCTTAATCTTGTGTAATGTTTTCCTCTACCCAATCTGAGTGGAGCTCCTGATTGGTCGTGCCACGTGGGAAGTTTTCTTGAACCAATCAAAAGGGATAACCCAGATCTAGGTAGCGGCACGTCATCAGTATGGAATTTCTGCACTTTTTTCTCAGACGTCATCTCGCTGGGAAACCAGTAGTGGCGTCGCGTAATGTCGGCTGTTTTCGAAGGCCTTAACAAAACGCTTGGGTGTCTTTTTAAGTCGATTGGAAAGGCTTGGATGAAAATCGGGTGCTAAGTAACGAATGCATTCATTAGTAATATCCTTCGGTATTTTCCCCATGTAAAGGAATCCACCAGTGGCGGATCCAGGGTAGGGGCCCGGGGGGCCCGCCCCCTTATTTTTCGACCAAAATGAGGCCCGAACGGCCAAAAAAACTGTATTTGGGAGATGCCCCCCACCCCCCGCCCCTTATATGAAGGTCTGGATCCGTCACTGTCTAGGACAGTCTTGGATTCTGGACTCCACGCGGGATTCCGTATTCCAGGTACTGGATTCAGTCTTTGCCAGTGGAACTAAGAGAGAATGATCTAGTTCATTCTCTCTGGGTGGAACTTGGATTCTGGATTCCAGTCGTTTGTGGGATGCCAGATTCCTTAAGCTTTATTGATATTCCGGATTTCAAATCCCAGGGTTTCAGATTCTAAGATTTTCTCAGATTTTGGATTCCACAAGCAAAAATTGTCTGGATTCCGGAATTCGGATTCCCTTTCGTGGAGCGAAGTAAAAGTTGAATAGGCTGATTTAGCAACAGAACGGGAACGTCAGTTGACGACGGCGCGCGCAAATCAAACAAACGGCTTGACCAATGGCAGAGCGGCAAATTGAGCACTGGAAGTCCTATTTATTAGTCCTTTCCGCGCGCTTTTCCCGTCGTCAACTGACGTACGTTCCTGTCGTATTGCTAAATCAGCCCATTAAGAACTTAACGAAGTGTTTGTTTACACCAACTAAACCAGTAGACTAAGTTAAATTTGCAAACCGAATCTAAAGCGTTGAAATCCGTAATAACGCTACATCTAGCTTTACCAGTTGTGTCTGTCTTTGATATAAATTGTTAGCTGTAGATATACGAGTGATTCTCTTTCATTTACCCTGGCTAGTCTTTCTCGTTTGTTTTTCTTTAGTAGGTAATTTTAAAGGAAAGCTATTACAGTAAATAGTCTATTCATAGAGAATCTTTATGCAGGAGTAATCAATGTAAATAAATGCTTAGAAATTTCAAACGATTTCTCCGTTTTTTCGTTGATATTTTTATAACACCTTTAACCCGCAGGAAAGTGGAGTGTAAGTTTAGCGCACAAGTGAGGGATCCCTCACTTGCGCTCTCATTTCAGGCGCTTGAATGGGCGGCTTCCCTTTGGAACCCCCGCTTCGCCTGCTTCCGAAGTCACCAAAAACAGGTTAAGATTGAGTGAAGATATCTTGGATATTTCTAGTCTGTGAGCAAGCTCTGATTTATATGGCGAGCCAGAGGAGCGAAGCGAGCCGGCCGGCATGAGAACGCGCTAGCGAGCGGCGTCCCACTTGCGACCCTTTTCGCGTGCTGCTCTCGCGTGACTCTTCGCAACTCCCTCCAGCCTGCGAGGAAGCCCTCCATTTGGGCGAGCGTGATACGTCTCCCCTCGTGTGCCTCTCGCGCATTTACTCTTTACGATATTTTCCAAATTTTAAGCTAAAAAATTTACAAGAAGTCCGAGAGGGGGCGAAAGAAACTTACCCTACCCCGATCGTTTTCTCTTTTGACTGTGGTTCAGCTTTTGGGCGGCTGCATCCCTTACTTAACGAAACAAAAACGAAAGAAACACCAAAAAACCGCCTGGGGGAGAATTTTATTTGTTTGGGTTCGTCAATAGCCATGTAAAAAAAAAGAACAACAACCAAAAAAGAAAACAAAAAATTCCCGCCAGTTTTGGTCGCGTGCGTTGCGTTACGCTTCTTTGATCACGTGCCTACGTAACTCGTTTCTGATTGGCCAAATGTGGAACAGCAATCGATCGCGTCCGTCAAACAAAGAAGCGGGGCCATCTTTGGTAACGGGCGAGCTGGGCATCGTCAGTAGGTAAGCTGAATTTCTCTTATTTACACTCTCAATATTAACGTCTTAGCTATATTAAAATAATGTATGTACCATAGCTCTTTGTAATTCCCTTAAAAACGGGAGTACAGTTTAGACTTTTTCGTTTCAAGGAACGATCGAGAGACAGTTGACAAAGTTGCGGTTACTTGCTCAATGATTTGTAAGCTCATTGTCTTTCGATCAACAAAACTTTGCGTAAAACCTATCCTAAAATGTTTTCTGTTTTCAAGACTTTATAATTATTTTGTATTTTGCATTTGTCTGTACATCGATAAGCTAAGCCTTGGTGAACATGGCCGTGCTTTTTTCTGTCCCCAAACTAGTATGGGTTTTTTTCCCAAGCTATGGGACATACCATTTTTTATCAGCATCCCCCACCCCCTACCCCATGGAAGGCATAATGTGATAATATCCAGAAGGACCCTGTTGGAATCTAATATTTTAACCACAATAAAGGGTTTTGGAATTAGCATTTAACTCACAAGGGCCTTTTGGAATCTCGGATTACTACAAGGCCTTAGGAAAGTGGGGATTTGGGAACCTTAGGAATCGCAATTTAAGGGCCTGTTGGAATCATGCATTCCATAGAGGGGGTGCAGGTGGAATGTCCCTTTACGGCTCTGACACTTAATAACAAAGTTTTCTATTCTATTCTATTCTAATTTGTACTTGCATGTAGATTGACCTGCTCGCCTGAGTTGGGGGAGGGTGGACTTTCTAGTACAGTCAAAACTCTCGTAGAGACCACCTCAGAAAATTTGAAAAAGTGGTCGTAAACTAGAGCTGGTCATTTACAAGAATGAGCTCTCCCCAAAAACGGCTAATAAGAGCTGAACCACATTCTGCGTATCATCCAGTCCAATTTTTTATTTATTTGTTTCTGACACACAAACAATATTATTGCAATACATTACATTTATGATTCATTACAATAAATTCTAATTCTCGGTTACTAAATTTTACCTTACGTCAAAACAGGTAACTGTTATCGTTTACGGAAGGGAAGAAAGTGAAAGAAAAAGAAAAAGAAAGACAAAGTCCACAAAAATAATATAGCTTATATGATTATATAGTCCTCCATCCCCCATCTGCCTGTTTGTCACTTGCACTTAAATTAAGTGTGTAGATCAAATTATTTTTGTTTGAAAGTAGCCCATTTCTTCCTAAAGGAGGCTAAGTTATTATTATCAAAAGCAATCTGTTTCTTAATTTCCATGGAGCGTATGACTCCAACCTGATTTTAGTCAGCATTGTTATTGGCAACAATCTTAGACAATTACAGCATTTAAAGTGTTGTGGCACGAAAATTAACATAACATGGTGCACAGATTATGAAAATACTTTCGCATGAATAGAGTCTGATTGTAAGTTGAAATTTGGCTTATGAAAAGCATTTCGTACACTTAACAGTCAAATTTGTTCCTGCATTTCTTAAGCACTTTGAAACGTTTCAGCAGGTCCTGAGGGATCGTCCCGTGCACGTTCTTGTAATGTTTGGCAATGGCGGAGGACTGTTGTTTATGTCCTTTTACACGATTGTGTAAATGTCCACGTGTGTAACGTACATGTACATAGCCTGCAGCACACAGGTCACACTGGAAGCTATAAACTACACACTGTTCATTTACGATCGGTGGCTTTGCTTCTTTCACATTCAGTCCTTGTTCAATTTTCCGGCTGGTAAACACAGGCTGGATGGTGGTGTTTACTTTTAGGCTCAGATCCTTCGTGACAAAAACTTTGAAACACTTATTTTAGGATGATTGTTAGCAAACCAAAATATATGGGTAATACATGTTCGGAAATACAAGTCAATTGCTGATGAGTCAAGAGCTGATGAGAACACATGTCTACCCTGAAATGCATCAGTGCACATTAATACTCAGTAGTATGTGAGTTACCTCTTTGTTTAGAGGTGTTATATGTCAGTGAATGGTCAACAAGCTTCAAACTGGCAAATCCAAAAAAATTTACTTGCAAAATGCCAAGTGCAACTTTCACTTACTATTGAAACTCAAATTTTTAAATACCCGATGCACATCTATTTCGATCATGAATTGAGGAAACAGTCATATTTCACAACATGACAATGGACATCAAAAGTCGAACCTCATACGACGGCACTTGCTTTCATAAATGAAACTTCTTTGTGATGACCAAATTTGCATCAATGACACTTTGTCATAGGTACATTGTAGCGAGACTTAAGAAATTAAAAGGAGTGTTCCAACTTTAACTAACAGAACTTGAGATACAATCCACTGCGTTACCACAAATCGGCAAGGCATGGGCTTGAAAATAAAATCCTAGGATTTCTAGGCTTTAGTAGTATATAAAGAATTATGCAGATCTCAAAGGGTATTATCCACCTCAATCCGCATAATTCTTCATATCCTACTCAGCCTCATTCAGTAATTGCTAAATAATTTCATTTCATGCCGATTTTGTCACTTTCAAAATAAGAGCTCTAATTTTCAGCTCTTTAAAGAACGCCTTTTATACTACAGGTGTATGAACACATAAAAAAGTAGGATGCCGAGCAATTTTACAAGTGAAACCCAGTTGCATGTCACCAAATTTACAGTAGCTCGATTATTCACGGCTGAAGTTTGTCATGAAAAGTTCCTTAGAATGAGCAACTATCAAGCTTCTTCAAACCCAACAATTTGTTTGTTTGTTTTTTTTCAACAATGCACCACAAAGCACTGTCACGGTGAATAACGAATTCAAAGAAAAATCTTTTCCTTCCTGACACGTAAGCGCTGATGCATGCCCTCATCCGAGCTGATACGTCCATTGCATCAGTTTTGCCTCTGTATTGTTTGCTTAGTTCTGGCCTGCACTTTGGCTTCCTTTGTTTTTGCAGGTATACCCCTCTGAAACAGCGAACAGCCAACAGATTGCCAGCTAACTTGAGGCTCTCCATAGAGGATGTCTTTAGGCATTCAGTCATCCTCCATTTTTCTGGCAAGCTTAAGCACAGTGGTAGATGTACAGCATATTGTTAGTGGAGTCTTGAAGTGTCTGAGATGTGCATTGTCCTTCAAGTAAAGCTCTTGGTAGGTATTCCAACTCATTTCTGGGTCCATCTTGCCATGGTCAGTGCAGTGAATTTGTTACAGCTGCACCTCTAAAACTAATTCATGGTATGCGTCCCATAGGACACAAAGATCGATCAATCTGAACATGTGTATTTGTAGAAATATTCTGTTCGTGCAATTTCTGTGGCAGTTATAATAGCTGTTGTTTAACGATGCATAATTATTTCTTTTAGTCTTTGCTGTCTTTGCAGGACAAATTTCAGTAGCCTGTAATACAGAGATATGGAGTCTAGCTGTCTTCAGATTAACTGTCTGGTTACATAGAGGCCCAAGCATTTTCAAGTTCTAAAAAGGCTTCTTTTCTATCTAGAAACGTTTTCTCTAGGGCTTTTATACTTGTCTCTAAAAACAAACAATCAAGAAATTTCAATTTTTTACTAAAAGCATGAGCTAACCTCTTTGGATGAAATCCAATCTGGTGACTATGTAGAATCAATATTAATTATTTTTGGCTTCTTTTCCATGTAGAACATCAAGTAACCTTTTTTCCTAGGCTGTTTTAGCCCAAAACAATGATTTTTGACTATAAGTATGCGTGGGTAACCCCTGTGGAAAGTCTAATCCAATATGGTGACTATTGTCTAAAAATTCTTTTTCATCAAGAATATTCCAAAACATCTCTTCTAGGGTTTTTTTTTTAACCAAAAACAAACAATCTAGAAATTTCAAATTTTTGACCCAAGGCAAGGTAGCGTTCAATCTAGAAATTAGTCAAAATGGGTCATACCTGTACATGTATATCCCACATAGCATTTTAAATTGGGTTTGGGTCAAGTGAAACTATGATATTGAAATTTTGTGCAACTGACATCACCAAACTGACTTCGCCAGCTTTACCATCCTTTCCAGCCCATCTTTATGCTTTTCAGTTTCATGAACTTAGTTTTTGTTGTCCTTTCATAATGAAACAAAAACAAAAGAGCAATAAGTCAACAAATGAAGCATGAATCGATCAGCAAAGCAACGTGTGTAGAAAGTCAAAATGTATGCTCCAGTCTCTCCTGCAATTGTGTGGAACGCCTAACGCAAAAAACTACTCATACGCACAAAGTCTGAAATGACAGTCATTTCAGGCTTATAAGCTCACCTATTTTTCAAAGTTTACCTTTATTATTGCCTGTTAATTTGGAAATACTTACATATGAACTAACTTCTTTTTTGCGTCAGTATGATGTTTTTTCATTTTGCGTCAAAAGAGAATATTCCGCGTCAATGACACAAAAACGCGTCTTAGATTGAACACTACAAGGCCTAACCCCTTTGGCAAAAATCAACCATGGGGACTAGATGTATGTGTAACTGATGTTAATTTTTATTTACTCAAAAAGCTTCTTTTCTGTCTAAAACATCAAGAAATGTTTTTTCCCCCAAACAATCAAGAAATAAACCAGTTTCAAATTTGTAGCGGCCACTGAATAGAATCACTGAAGACTCATTTATACAGGGTTAGTTGTACACAGGTCTTTTTCTGACTGGAATGTGTCAATATAATTATTTACTTTAGGTCGACACTAACCCTGTATAAATTTAGTATTCATTGCTTCTTTTCAACGGTCGCAACAAATACGAAAATGGACCGTATTTCAAATTTTTTACCTTTGACAAAATCTGATATGGTGACTATGTAATATTATTATTATTTTTATCATCTCAAAAGGCTTCTTTTCTATCTAGAACATCCCTGGTCTTGTTTACCCAAAAACAAAGAAACAAGAAAGTTCAGAGTTTTAACCAAAAGCATGGGCTAACCCCTTTTTGGGAAAAAACAAAAAGGAATGTGGCAACTATGAAAAATCAATACTTTTGTTGTATAAAAGGGCTTCTTTTTTATCTAGAACATCCTGAAATGTTGAAAGATCTTTGCCCCGTGTCAGTGTTCTCCCTTAATTTTAGCTCAGCAGGTACAGTGTAAGGGACCATTCAAGGCCAAAAATTTGCACCAGAGGTGCAATTTCCTGTGGGGAAAGGGGTAGTGGAGTGAGGGACATGGCCCTGCTCTTGCTTGGAAATTTAGGAGCTAAGTTCTCTGAGACGTCATTCCTTCATTTTAAGACCTACAGTGTATTTTACACAAATCTGTCCTTGTCATCTTTAGACAACAAGTTTTTAAAAAAGTTTAATTCCAATAATTTTACTCTGTCTTCAATGTTCTCTTTCCAAAATTTGTGTTCCAGAAAAAGAAAAGCTGTACATTATACTTTAGTACTCTTCCGTATATTCATTCGTTTCCTTGTGAGTCACAACTTCCTTATTTTTTTAAAACTACATACCGTAAAATTCCAAAAATATTAAAGCCCTGGGGCTGTCCGCTTAAAAAAATTGTGTATGCCTCATGAAAAGTCTTAAAAATATGCTCGAGAGCCTCGAAACGATGACTGATTCTGTCTCACTCCGTCCGCTGTTTTGAAAGTTTTGATCACTGAGGCGATGTTTTGATTTGTTTGTTGATAAACACAAGCGTGCCTTCTCATTGGTTGAAAAGTGTGATGTGACCAGTTGGCCCTGTCCTTAAATTTAGGGATATTCTGGACTGTTAAATGTAAAACCTAATCGTATGATTGACTCGCAAAACGGATGCCATATTGGAAATGGAATTATACCTGAGCTGGGTGAAATCCATCACCTGTGTGCCTGATTTTGAACTTTTGTCGCGCATCTACGAGAGAGCATCCTTCAATGGTCGATGATTATTAGGCAGATTTTCTTTGTTTATCAGAGGACCACACACAAAGCATGAAGAGAAAGAGATGCAATAGGGCATCATTTTCTAGATCCCGGAAGGTTGAAAGGAACATTTTCAGCTGGGATTCATTAGCAGAAAAAATGTTTTGTCGAACTTGTGGCGGTGTGTGTACTCAAATAGTAGTGCTAAGAGATGCAAATTCCAACTATGCTTTTATCACAGAAACAGAAAATTTCCGTTTATTGTCTCTCCAGTTTAAAGTTGGATGTTGATAAAATTTATTGATCGACTGTATTAGTAAAGAACTGAAAACAAACAAAGACAACACAGCAAGTGTTTATTCGTTTGCATTTCGTTTAAAAATAATTATATACTTTATAGACTAGACACTGGAAGGAGTAGAGTGGCTCCTTGCCCCCTGGGTATATTTTTTTCTGGGCTTTCTTTCTTTTTTTTTTGACCAGTGACTTGTCCTCTTGAGTTAGTGATCTATTTCACTTGCTAGCCCATTGCCTAGTGTTCAAAAAAGTTAGTGTCGAGTACTGGGTTACCTTCTAACAAGGAGAACACTGCGAGCACAAAAAATTTTTTGTTGAAACTGATCATCTCCCAAGTACCTGTACTGGTGGATCTGCTCAGGTGGTTCAGAAGTGATGGGTTTACATGTTACTTTTCTTGTTCCCTTTACAGGTTCAATGTTCAACGGTGAATATTATTATTATTATTTTGGTAAAGGACACAGTCAGTCAAAGGCATGCAATCACTTATGTGAACAGCAGCAAGGACTTTTTGCCACACAGGTAAGATGAAATGTAATAAATACACCTGTACCCGCAGGTGCACTCTCTGCGTTGTTCGCTTAGTTGTGACCTGTACTGTATTAATTATTATCTTTTTTACATGTATAATTTTGTCCAAAACAGTTATGAGCCAGCGAATGTGGTATGGTTTGTAAGGTCTTGAGTCTTAAACAAGACCAATAGTTTACTATTAATTTTAGCATCTCGAATAGGGTGTCTTTTTGTTCTGGAAGCCTAACTTTATTCCACAATAGTGACCCTCATCCAATTTCTCCCAACAATAACACTTGCCTTAGGGCTGTCATTAAGAGCCGGGGGCCGGGGATTAATAGGTCCAGAAGAAATTCCTGGCTGATTGTTTCCCTGCTTACTTGAATGAATGTGTACTCTTTTCCGGCTGATGGCGATTAGTACTGGAAAATAATTTTCCATTAAGTACTTGTTACCCAGACTGATAAAGTGATGATGTCAATGGCGTTGTGAAAGAAAATGTTACTAAAAAGCGACAGGAATTTCGATTCAGCCCTGGTGAATGTTATTTTCGAGCATGTGCCTTGCGGATTTGTGATAACGCAAAGGATTGTACCTCAAGATCTTTTATGCATTTTTTTTTTCAAGTTCAATCCTGAAGTCTTGCTTTCTATGACAATGTCATCGATGAGAATTTGGTCATTACAAGGAAAGTTTTGTTTATGTGAGCACGTGCCAATCGGAGGTTCGATTGTCATGTTGTGAAGTTCCTTCAACTCAAACTCAAGATAATTTTGTGAGTGATGTTCCCTTCCATGTTATTGTTACGTTAGCTTGGTTTTGATTGTGTAAAATGTGACTGTTTCCTTGATTTGTGAAATGCATGATCAAAATACATGTAGCAAAAGTTGCACTTGGGGTTTTGCATCTAAATTTTCTTCAGATTGCACCAGGTCAATCCACCAGTTTTAAGCTTGTTGATCATTCACCGACACATAACACCTCTACACAAAGAGTTAGGTCATACATACTAATTAGTCTTAATGCACACTGACGCATTTCATAGCACACGCATCAGCTCATCAGCTCAGACGACGCACGGACGCATCCAGCCTGACGCAATTGACTCGTCTTTCCTGGCACATACACCTTGTATGAGTTGTATCACACGTATATTTTGGTTCGCTTAGTTCTGGCCTGCACTGTACTTTTCTCTTTCTCTCCTTCCCTCTTTTTTCGCTTTTCTTGCCTCATTTTTTTCTCTTGCTGTGCATTTAGTAGGCTTGATTTTCGTGGAAAAGGTTTTTAGAAATGCTTTGAGGATGTTAGAATTATCTGAAAGGAAAGGCAGGTGGGTAGCAGTGGAACAAGATTTTCAGGGAAATCTTCAGGTCAATATTACATGGTTTTTTGCCTTTTTCTCCTTGTGCTCATTCTGGTATGGTTTAAAAGATCTCTTCACTTTGTACAAGTTAGTGGCCACAAGTTGTCCATGACCGTTAAAACTGATGATGTCACAAGCAATAGAAGCACATGGGTTTAAAAGTGACACAGCAGTCTTGACTTTTACTTTTCTATTTCTCTCCTCCCCTCTTTTTTCGCTTTTCTTGTCTATTTTTTTTTCTCATGCTGGGCTTTCAGTAGGCTTCATTTTGGTGGGAAAGTTTTTTGGGAAAGCTTAAATTAGGATCCTAGAATTAGATGAAAGGAAAGGTAGGTTGATAGTGGAACAAGATTTTCATGGAAATTTTCAGGTCGATGTTACATGCATTGTTTTTTGGCTTTTTCTGCGGTGTCCTTGACTGAATTGTGCTCATTCTGGTATGGTTTGAAAGATCTCTTCACTCTGCGCAAGTTAGCAGTCACAAGTTGTCCATGAACGTTAAAACTGATGATGTCACCAGCAGTAGAAGCACATGGACCGGCATTCATTTGCGGTTACGGGCGGCTCAGGGGCGAATTGTTTAATAAAATCATTTATATAAAAAGTAAACAGAACAGGGCCAAGAATGGACCCCACTGAACTCCATATAATTATAATCAACTGGGAGAGACTGCAAAGCCACATCCCCAATAGAAACATACTATCCATTCCAGTGCTGATGGAGACACACCAAGGCTACGAAGTTTAAATACTTCTAACAACGTGTTGAGGTTTATACTGTCAAACGCTTTTGACATGTCCATCAACACCAATATTGATGTGATTATATGCAACATAGCTGGTAAACTATCCTTACGGTAAGTATTCTTGTACACTGTGCCTTTGGTGTGACGTAATAATTATTATCACTTGTGAGAAAAATCGTCTGACCAATCAAATTGATAGTAATCAATTTTTAACAGACGATATTTACTTGTTAAATTGTTTTATTTTCTCTTGAGACAAAGACAGAAAAATCCTCCCAGACTTCCATAAATTATTACTGAATTTTTGGGGGAAACTCTGCTGGGAGACAAAGAGCGTTTGACTGTATAAATTTCAAGAAATCTCCCAACCCCTGGAGTGTTTGTGCTACAAGTAACCTATGGGACAATAAAATTTTGGGACACTAACACTTTATCAGACAGTGTTCTTACCAGTGTTCTCACCAGTGTTTATACTTTTCTTGGAAATGCCATTAATGCTATAATTAGCCCAAGGGGTTCCATGGGTGCAAGGAAGGAAGGAAGAAAACAAAAACATACATACATTTCCTTATAATATTAGCCAAAATTTAATTGGTTATGGCGTCTTTACTCTAACTCACAGCTGTAAAACGTTGAGTTAAGTGTATGTAAAATTGGATTAATGTATGAGTTATCTACTCTTACTCAGACCTGTGAGTAAAGGATTGAGTTAACTGTGCCTGTATCTAAAAATTGTGACCTGCTCTTCTCCCTCATGACCCCTTTTCAGCTTCTCTATGGGTTCTGTGGACCCCTAGTGTGGAACATCTTGGTAAGAACACTACAGAGATGATGGGATAGTATGTTGAAAAGTAATTTAGCTTTAAAACATCAGTCTCAGATAGATTCACCAATAGTCAAACCAAAGGCAGAATGGAAGTGCTGTAAAGCATTTAAGAAGGATTAATACATGTAGGTCTTACCTCCCCTGGTGCTGTGCCTTGACGTGGCGGGGAGGCTTGGGTGCCCTTGGGACCACTAGAGCTATGATGGCGGGAGCTTACATGTATGTTCCTGGCAGGTTGAATTATGCCAGATTGCTCCAAGGTAGAAGGGCCTGACTAAACAGCACCCTGGTCCTCCAGTTTGGAGGTTTAGTACAGGGTTAACAACTCTGCCTTGTCAAACACAACATTTTAAAACTTCAATAGAAAAAACATGATGAAAGCACCTACAGCTGTAGTAGAAGCCACTCAGTGGGAAAAGGACAAATGAGCGAGATGGAGATCTTCTGAAGAATGAGCTACAGATGCAGCAAAAAAACTCCACCACTCTCATTGAACTGGCCACCAAGTAAATAACCACACCTGCACTTCTCTTTACACAGGTGATAAAGAAAATTTGTTACTACAAGATAACAAGAGATCATCTCAGAGGAATCCAGACAGAACTTATGTCAAGGATCAGTCTCAAACTTCTCAATGCATGTGCCACCCAACACCAGGGAATCCAGGTTCCACAACTGCATCCCTGATGCCTGCCCCATACATTCCAGATATCTGCTGGAAACTTGAGGAAGATACTACTTGTATGAGATTGGATTCCTTACAGTTGCTGGTGGCTTGTGTATGACTAGATTCCAATGAAAGCTGAACTTGTGGATATGGTGTAGTGGTGTTTGGCCGATGAACTGTTGTGACAGAAAGCGGTGTCACTTGGGGTGCATTGACCTTTGGGATGATAAGGATTTACTAGGATCGGAGATCCCAGACCACTTGGATCATGGTAGATCAAATGAACCAATGAATTTTTGTTCAGAGTGGAGTCCTCAGTTCATTATTGATCTACCATGATCTGAGTGATCTCGCATCACTTATCCTCATTCGGATCATCTCAAAGAACCCACTCTTAATAATCTACATGCCACGAGAGATCAGCAAACATAGAACCGGTCAACCTACAAACCAGTAAGTATGGAAACCAGAAACTCATACTAACTGTTATTCCCTATTTGTAGTGTTCAACTACAAAGGCATCCCGTGTGCTTGCCCTATTGCTGTAGTGTGGACCTGGTAAACCCAGGATACCCAAATAAGTTGGTACTCAAACTGACTGTTTCTCTACTCCTGTTGTGATTTTGGTCACTGCATGACCATTTACCTGTCTTCATTTGATTATGGCTATCATTATCACTCTTGCTCAAATCCTTGAAGGAACACAGCTTACAGCCGTCAACATACAGCAGATTTATAAGTGGGATTAAGAGACGCTTGATCTATGGCGGTTGTTGTTTTTTCAATCTCAGTACACTTTTTGACATGACACATTGATTTGAATTTAAATATTGACTTTTGTACATGTACTTGTTATCATAATTTCATATATCATTTATTAAAAGGAGTGTGGTGGTAGGATTTTCTCACTTGTCATGTGGAAGAAAGCGGAGCGGGTATGGAGGCTGAACCACTGTTGCTTTTTTCCCTCCACCATGTACCCTAGATTTGTCGATCAGGTATGTGACTTAATTCAATTTTTTGGATTAATAACTGTCTAATACCTTTCATTGAGAATTGACATTACATGGTTTTAAAGTTGGAAAAAGCTGTTAAACAAGTATTTTGTTATACATTGTGATGCTGATTGCTCTATGGACCTCCTAAACACCTGATTTAATAACACACCCACTCAGTCAGTTCTCATACTGACTGTTCCTCTTCGTTTGTCGTCTTCTTGGATCCACAACTCCACACTGATCCCTATACATTCCAGATAACTGACTGGAAACTTGTGGAAGATACTACTTGTATGAAACTGGATTCCTTATGGTGGCTGGATGCTTGAGTATGGCCGGATTCCAATGAAAGCTGAACTTGTCGAAGGTGTAGTGGTGCTTGGCCGATGAACTGTTTCGGCAGAAACCGGTGTCACTTAATCTACATAACACGATATCAGAAATCATAGAACCGGCCAACCAATAAACCAGTAAGTATGGAAACCAGTCACTCATACTAACTGTTCTTCCCTAGTTGTAGTGCTTAACTACAAAAGCATCCTTAATGCCTTCCCTTTTTGCTGTGGTGTCAACCTGCCCATTGGAAGAACCTGCCACCCAACTCCAAGAAATTCAGGATACCCAACATGCCTTCTAAGTCAGTCAGTACTTATGCAGACTTTTCCTCTGCCCCTGTTGTGATTGTGATCAGTGCAAGTCCCTTGAGCTATCTGCATTGATTATGGCTATCGTTATTGTTCTTGCAGAAGTTTTTGGAGGACAATACTTATTATAGCAGTGAACAAACAGCAGAATTATCAGTAGGAATAGCAGACTCCTTATCAAATGCAATTTGGTGGAGACACACTTCTGTTTGACTAAAACATTGATTTTAATTGAAACATTGAATCTTTGTACTTGTTATCATCTTCAACCCTTCAAGTTAAAGTTTTTACTCAATCGCCATTTGGAAACCAACTCTTTTGGTTAAGGAAGACTTTTTACAAATGAAGTTGCCAGCTCCAAAATTTTAGGCGCCATGGCGACCAAAATGGTCGCAACTTGGAGGGTTAATATTTTATATTTTATTTTCAAATTAGAAGGATTGTGGGGACAAGACTGCTTGTCTGCTGTGGCGAAAAAAGCAGAGATGACAAAGAGAAGCCATTGCCATTGTTTTTCTGATTTTGAAGGCACTTTGGATTGATGGTAAGTGACTTGGCCCCATATTAAGCAGACACTTAATATTAAGCAAACAAATAGATGTTTCTTTTCTTCAAACATAGAACCGGTCAACCTATAAATCAGTAAGTATGGAAACTGGAAACTCATACTAACTGATACTGTATGTGTCTGTAACTTAATATCCATTTCTTTGTTTTACTAGTTGAGAAGGGCAAATCACAACTGTTTGGGAATTTTCATCTTCTGTATCTTGTCTTGAAACTGACCTGCCTTGAGCAGGGTTGTCAAAAGTAGCTGGCTGCCGACGAAAATCGATACCTTCTTGGTTAGTACCGGCAGGCTACTGGGCTTGGCATTTCTTTATGAATGGCGTTTTTTAAATAAAATATCCCTGGACTGGTCACTTACTTTGACATGTCAGCTGTCTACTTCAAAACATTTTGACAACCCTGTTTGAGGGAAAGAGCAGAGCTGAAATGGAGAAGCCATTATTGTTATGTTATCCACCCAGTACCATGGATTAGTTGCATGTCACTTAAGTTTTAATTTTTGAACTGATTATTCTCTCAAGACATATAGCTTTATCTCTGTAGCTTTCTTTATGAATAAACACTCCATGGTTTTCATGGAAAAAAGGACAAATCACACTAAGGGTGACTAGAAGCACAACTCTTGTGATACATTTTGTCACTGTTTTTTAACTGATTGTTTTTTCTCTTCTTTTTAGGGTAGCCTTTGTCAATGCAGATCATGAACTGCACAATGTGTCTGGCATTATTCTGTCACCTTACTGTGAATTGGACTTACCTGATAATTGAGTCGAAGACAGAGAATCCAGCCAAGTATTCATTTTACAGAATTTTTTGTGGAAACTACCTTCTGTAGAGCAGCTATGAGGACGTTTTCGATGGTCATATAGCCTGAAGTCCTCAGATAAGAGCACTTAAATTGCGAATAAAGCTGATACTACATTTTGGCCAAATCTAAATGACCAAAAAATTGGCATTTTTTGACCAAAAGCATGGGTTATCCCCTTTGGAAAAGTGCGATTATTTAGACTTTGAAAAATTCTGTTTTTTATTTTGACCAAATCTAAATACACGAAAACGTGGCATTTTTGGACTAAAAGCATTGGTTAACGCCTTTGGAAAAGTGCAATTTTTTGGACTTTGAAAAATTATCTTTTTTAAGGTCAAAAAAGGTTTCTTTTTTCTCTGAAAGTCAGAAAGCATTACTTCTAGTCTTATTTTGATCAAATGTAAATTAAAAAAATTGCATGTTTAGGCCAAAAGCATGGATTAAACCCTTCGGAAAAAAATTCGATTTTTTGGACTTTCAAAAATTCTGTTTTTTATAGTAAAAGAGGTTTATTTTTCCTGTGGAAAGTCACTAAGCATTATTTCAAGTCTCATTTTCACTAAATCTACGTAAACAAAAAATTGGCAGTTTTTGACCAAAAGCATGGGTTAACCCCTTTTGGAAAAGCGGATTTTTTGGACTTTGAAGAATTCTGTTTTTTATAGTCAAGACAGGTTTCTTTTTTCTCTGCAAAGTCGCTAAGCATTATTTCTAGTCTTATTTTGATCAAATCTAAATAAAGAAAAATAATGGCATTTTTTGGCCAAAATTATGCGTTAACCCCTTTGAAAAAGTGCGATTTTTTGGACTTTGACAAATTCTATTTTCAAGGTCAAAAAGGTTTCTTTTTTCTCTGCAAAGTCAGAAAGCATTATTTCTAGGCTTATTTTGATCAAATTTTGGCCAAAAGCATGGGTTAACCCCTTTGAAAAAAAATGCGATTTTTTGGACTTGAAATATTCTCTTTTATATAGTCCGAAAGGTTTCTTTTCTCTCTTCAAAGTAATTAAGCAATATGTCTAGTCTTATTTTGACCAAATTTAAATGGAGGAAAAAATGGCATTTTTTGACCCAAAGCATGGGCTAACCCCTTTGGAAAAGAGGATTTTTTGGACGTTAAACACTTCCTTTTTTTAAAGTCAAAACAGGTTTCTTTTTTCTCTGCAAAGTCGCTAACCATTATTTCTAGTCTTATTTTGACCAAATCTAAATAAAGAAGAATTTGGCATATTTTGGCCAAAAGCATAACTTAACCCTTTTGAAAAAAATGTTTTTTTTCCTTTAGTCAAAAAGGTTTCTTTTTTCTCATCAAAGTCAGAAAGCATTATTGCTAGTCTTATTTTGACCAAATCTAAATAAACCAAATAATTGGCCTTTTTTGACCAAAAGGATGAGTTAACCCGTTTGAAAAAAAAAGCGATCTTTTGGACTTTTAAAAATGCTGTTTCTTAAGGTCAAAAAAGGTTTCTTTTTTCTCTGCAAAGTCAGGAAGCATTATTTCAAGACTTATTTTGATCAAATTTAAATAAAGAAAATATTGGCATTTTCTGCCCAAAAGCATGGGTTAACCCCTTTGAAAACAAATGCGATTTTTTTGGACTTTGAAAAATGCTGTTTTTGAAGGTCAAAAGAGGTTTCTTTTTTTATTGCAAAATCAGAAAGAATTATCTCTAGTCTTATTTTGATCAAATCTAAGTAAAGAAAAAATGGCATTTATTGGCCAAAAGCATGGATTAACCCCTTTCAAAAAGTGCGATGTTTTGGACTTTATGTTTTGGATTTTATTTTTTAAGGACAAAAAAGGTTTCTTCTTTCTCTGCAAAGTCAGAAAGCATTATTTCTAGGCTTATTTTGATCAAATGTAAATTAAGAAAATATTGGCATTTTTCGGCCAAAAGCATGGGTTAACCCCTTTAAAAAAAAATGGGACTTTTTGGACTTTGAAAAACTCTGTTTTTTATAGTGAAAACAGGTTTCTTTTTTCTCTGCATGTCGCTAACCATTTTTTCTAGTCTTATTATGACCAAATCTAAATAATGAAGGATTGGGCATTTTTTGATCAAAAGCCTGGATTAAACCCTTTGGAAAAAAATACGATTTTTTCTACTTTGAAAAATTATGTTTGTTATAGTCCAAAAGGTTTTTTTTTTCCTGTGGAAAGTCACTAAGCATTATGTCAAGTCTAATTTTCACTAAATCTACATCAACAAAAAAATTGACTTTTTTTGACCAAAAGCATGGGTTAACCCTTTTGAAAAATTTGATTTTTCGAACTTTAAAAACTCTGTTTTTTATAGTAAAAAAAAGGTTCTTTTTTCTCTGCAAAGTCACTAAGAATTATTTCTAGTCTTTTTTTTTTTTATCAATTGTAAATAAAGAAAAAATTAGCCATTTTTGGTTAAAAGCATGAGTTAACCCTTTAGAAAAATGCGATTTTTTGGTCTTTGAAAAACTCTGTTTTTGAAAGTGCAAAAAGGTTTCTTTTTTCTCTGTTAATTCACTAAGCATTTTTCCTAGACTTATTTTGATCAATGGTAAATAAAGAAAATAATTGGCATTTTGTGCTTAAAAGCATGAGTTAACCCTTTGGAAAAATACGATTTTTTGGACTTTGAAAAATTTTGTTTTTTGTAGTCAAAAATGTTTCTTTTTTCTCTTCAAAGTTACTAAGCATTATATCTAGTCTTATTTTGACCAAATCTAAATAAACCAAATAACTGGCATTTTTTTACCAAAAACATGGGTTAACCCCTTTGAAACAAAGCGATTTTTTGTATTTTCACAAATTGTGTTGTTTAAAGCCAGAAATGGTTTCTTTTTTCTCATCAAAGTCAGAAAGCATTATTTCTAGTCTTATTTTGATCAAATCTGAATAAAGAAAAAAATGGCATTTTTTGGCCAAAAGTATGGAAAAAAAGAAAAGAAGAAAAGAAAAAGAAAAAGAAAAAGTGCGATATTTTGGAGTTTGAAAAATTCTGTTTTTTAAGGTCAAAGAGGTTTTTTTTTCTGCAAAGTCGGAAAGCATTGTTTCTAGGCTTATTTTGATCAAATTTAAATTAAAAAATTGGCATGTTTTGGCCAAAAACATGGGTTAACTCCTTTGAAAAAAGATGCGATTTTTTGGACTTTGAAAAATTTTGTTTTTTATAGTCAAAAAGGTTTCTTTTCTCTCTTCAAAGTAATTAAGCATCATTTCTAGTCTTTTTTTTTATCAAATCTAAATAAAGAAGAAAATGGCATTTTTTGGCCAAAAGCATGGATTAATCCCTTTCAAAAAGTGCGATTTTTTGGACTTTAAAAAATGCTGTTTTTTAAGGTCAAAGAGGTTTTTTTTTCTGCAAAGTCGGAAAGCGTTGTTTCTAGGCTTATTTTGATCAAATTTAAATTAAAAAATTGGCATGTTTTGGCCAAAAACATGGGTTAACTCCTTTGAAAAAAGATGCGATTTTTTGGACTTTGAAAAATTTTGTTTTTTATAGTCAAAAAGGTTTCTTTTCTCTCTTCAAAGTAATTAAGCATCATTTCTAGTCTTTTTTTTTTATCAAATCTAAATAAAGAAGAAAATGGCATTTTTTGGCCAAAAGCATGGATTAATCCCTTTCAAAAAGTGCGATTTTTTGGACTTTAAAAAATGCTGTTTTTTAAGGTCAAAAAAGGTTTCTTTTTTCTCTGCAAAGTCAGAAAGCATTATTTCTAGGCTTATTTTCATCAAATTTAAATTAAGAAAATATTGGCATTTTTTGGCCAAAAGCATGGTTTAACCCCTTTGAAAAAAAAATGGGACTTTTTGGACTTTGAAAAATGCTGTTTTTTATAGTCAAAACAGGTTTCTGTTTTCTCTGCATCTCGCTAAGCATTTTTTCTAGTCTTATTATGACCAAATCTAAATAATGAAGAATTTGGCATTTTTTGATCAAAAGCCTGGATTAAACCCTTTGGAAAAAAATACGATTTTTTCTACTTTGAAAAATTATGTTTTTTGTAGTCCAAAAGGTTTCTTTTTTCCTGTGGAAAGTCACTAAGCATTATTTCAAGTATAATTTTCACTAAATCTACATCAACAAAAAAATTGACGTTTTTTGACCAAAAGCATGGGTTAACCCTTTTGAAAAAAATTGATTTTTTGAACTTTAAAAACTCTGTTTCTTATAGTAAAAAAGGTTTGTTCTTCTCTGCAAAGTCACCAAGAATTTTTTCTAGTCTTTTGTTTTTTTTTTTATCAATTGTAAATAAAGAAAAAATTAGCTATGTTTGGTTAAAAGCATGAGTTAACCCTTTGGAAACTAAGCATTTTTTCCAGACTTATTTTGATCAATGGTAAATAAAGAAAATAATTGGCATTTTGTGCTTAAAAACATGAGTTAACCCTTTGGAAAAATACGATTTTTTGGACTTTGAAAAATTGTTTTTTATAGTCAAAAATGTTTCTTTTTTCTTTGCAAAGGTACGAAGCATTATTTCTACTCTTTTTTGGTCAAATCTAAGTAAAGAAGAAAATGGCATTTTTTTAAAGCATGGATTAATCCCTTTCAAAAAGTGCGATTTTTTGGACTTTGAAAAATGCTGTTTTTTAAGGTCAAAAAAGGTTTCTTTTTTCTCTGCAAAGTCAGAAAGCACTATTTCTAGGCTTATTTTGATCAAATTTAAATAAAGAAAATATTGGCATTTTTTGGCCAAAAGCATGGGTTAATCCCTTTGAAAAAAAATGGGACTTTTTGGACTTTGAAAAACTCTGTTTTTTATAGTGAAAACAGGTTTCTTTTTTCTCTGCATGTCGCTAAGCATTTTTTCTAGTCTTATTATGACCAAATCTAAATAATGAAGAATTGGGCATTGTTTGATCAAAAGCCTGGATTAAACCCTTTGGAAAAAAATACGATTTTTTGGACTTTGAAAAATGCTTTTTTAAGGTCAAAAAAGGATTCTTTTTTCACTGTAAAATCAGAAAGCATTATTTCTA